TGATGGTAGTAGTTGTAAAATACATTTCAAAAGACATTTGGCACTGCTGATAAACCAGGGGGCCATTGTTCCTCGGCCCCTTTCTCCCATTCCTGCCCTCTCCTATCTCTAGATTAAGGTTGACAGCTTTCCTATTCATTATAGATACTGGATTTGTTTTATGTGTTAATACCCAACTTTTGAAGTAAATTTTACCAAATGGAGTGTATCTTACCAGAAATAGTTCATGATAATCTAAGGAAATAAAAACATTATTAAAAACATCAAAATAGCTATCTCATAATTTTTAATAAACAACTCATGAGAGCTATTGAGGGCAAAGGGAAGAGCAGGTGAGGTACCTGGATGCTTATGAAAATCCTTCCTGGCTATAACAGTTTGAGGTGAGTCACTGAGTTCGGGTCCAACTTGTCAGTGAAACTAAAGGAGCCCACCCTGCTTCCTGGTTCACTTTACTCCCCACAGTGGCATCAGAGCTACTTAGTTTTAATAAAGTAGCTCAGTAGCTTGTGGCCATCAGCTCAGACCTTTGCAAGAGGTATTCCATCTGTACCAAGATGGCAAGGTGATCCCTCACAGCCCACTTCCTGGATACCTAGTAAATGAGAAGTCATAGCAACTGCTTCCTATGTAATCAAAGAGTGGACAGAAAGATGAGCTCAAGGCCAAGAGAGGCATTGAGCAGAAGGCGTAGCCCAAGTCTGCCTGCATCTGTGGTCACATCAAAATGCATCACTATGGCCTGCTGCACTGTGCTACTCACTGGGGCACCCATTCCAGCCTAACTCAGAAGGGAAATGAGAATGCTTTACTAATTTCCATGATCCCCAGTTCCCCAGGAAGTCAAGTCTCCTCAGGCAGAGTAACTTCTCAGGTAAATTCCTGCCCCAAAATAACCGAGTCCTTGGACCTGACTTGCTAATTGTGAGGCCTTGGTTGGGTTACTCTTCCTCTCTTAAGCCTTAGCTTTTTAGTCTCTAAAAGGGTAGTGATTCTTCTGAAAGCATTAGATTAGGAGTCAGGAGTCCAACCGTAAGCTCAGATTCACTCTAAAGTCTACTCGTCCTGGGCGAATCACAGCTTAACTTCTGAATAGTGTCCCCTTCTAAACAAGTGACGGAGCACAGACAAAATCTGAACAGTAGTGCTGTCAAGGTCATGAACTGGAGAAAGTGACTTTCACTTAAAAAGGCAAAGAATAAAGATTTTGCCCAGAAAAAATAACCGGGGCTCTGTAGTTCTGGTGGTGTAGTGATTAAGGCATTTGGCTGCTAATCAAAAGACTACTCTGTGGAAGAAAGGTAAGGCAGTCTGCTTCTGTAAAGATTTACAGCCTTGGAAACCCAATGGCATCACTATGAGTGACTCGACTCGATGGCAGTTAAATTTGGTTTGGTTCTTGGGTAGATTTACATAAAGCTATTAAAAAAGTAAGCCCACCTTCCTTCGGATGAGTGGCTGGTAGGTTTGAACCACCAGCCTTGTGGTTAGCAATCAAACGCCTTAGGCACTATTCCACCAGAGCTCCCGCTTAAAAAATAAGCTAGTTCTTCTAATAATTCGCTTCACACCTGGGACTAGAATCCCTGAAAGGACAGTGGACCCAATGGAGATCTTAGGGTTCTACTTTGGGGTAACTGGGTGGTATAATTAGAAGGTCCATGGTTCAAACCCACCAACGCTCCATGGAAGGAAGATGAGGCCATCTACTTTTCGTAGATTTATAGCCTGGGAAACCCAATGGGGGTCACTATGAGTTGGAATCAACATGATGGCTGTGGGTTTGGTTTTGGTTTTGAGTGGTATAAATGGTTAAGCACTTGGTTACTAGCTCAAAAGTCTGGCAGTCTGAACCCACCCATAAGTGCCTCAGGAGACAGGCCTGGTGGTGATTTGCTTCCAAGAGGTCCTGGCCTTGGAAACCCTAAGGAGAAGATCTCCTCTGCACACAGAATAAATGGTGGAGGGAAACGTGGGCTCTATAGGGCCTGGTGAGTATAAAAGGTCTATGGTAAGTATTTTAAACTTCTAGCTATGACTCTGGACAAACAGCATCAGAAAATATAATTCCTGGCATATAGTAGGTGCTCAATAAACACTTTTTTGCAATTATTGAATGAACAAATGGAGAGATTTCTATAAGCAGCAACTCTTCAACCACATGACCTGGTGTAAGTAGTCTGAGAGCAAGAGAACTTGGTGTATGAAGGTGAGGGGGGCTGTGAAACCAGAAAAAGGCCAGAAGCTACAGAGAGAAGAAATCTCTAGCAAGGCATCATCTCTAGGAAACATGGTCCTTCCACATTTTAATTCACTAGAAACACACTGATGAGGGCAATGACCTAAGCCACCCAATTCCTCTTTATATGCTGATGTTGCTGAGAACAAATTCCTGGCATTTGCTGAAGAACTGAGGGATACCACGATGAAAATAGACAAACCATCCCAGAAAGCAGTTTGGGATGCTAATAAAAATATAAACAGGCATGAAAATTCATAGCATTATGAGACCAAGCTTGTTAATGTGGTTAAAATTTTAAGTGCCTTCATTTGAGTATCATAGCTGAATTTTAATATTGAGAAACAGGAAATGTTACTGAGGCACACAATCCTAAAAAATGATTAAAAACCAAAGTACCAACATGAGTAGCTTTTTTAAATTATGTGAAAAATATGCCAGAGGCTACTTGGAAGACAGTAAAACTAAAGAGAAAAGGTAGCAATCTGTACATTTCTGTGTCCATTTAGGGTAATATTCTCAGAAATGGGGCACAGTTGCTTTCATACAAAACAAATACACATTGTTCCACCATCAATGCACTTAACATTCATCACTACCATGTACATACATATCATGAAATGAACCAGTGTAATATTGAAACCAGTTTTCAAAGCTCAGCTTTTGGGTTAACCAAAATGTCAACCGAAGTCAGAAAACTTAGCCTTAGTTTGAAGATTCAGAATGTAAAAGTCATTAAGCAAATATTCAAAATCAAGTTATGTGAAAGGGGACAAAAACTAATGTACAAACCTTGCCTCTATCTGTTAAGGTTTCTTGAGGCCACCAATGTGTGGAAAGAGCTAGAGCACACTACAGCTGAGCTCCAAAATATGACTACTTAAGTGTCCTGACTAGATTCACTGCCATCTTGGGGAGGTAGCCCATTCCTTGGTAGCTTACAGAATGGAAAAGGTTCAAGAAAATTTCATCCTCAAACCAGAGCCTCTTACTCACAACTAAAGCCAGCTGGTAGAGGGGGAAAAAAATCACTCAATACCAACATCCTCAGAAGTATTAGGTAGTATTCTACAGGAAAGCAGCTTACCAGTGCTCAGACATTTCTGCCCTGCCTCCTTCAACCTTCAGGGGGCACTAAGTGCTCACTTTTTGGAAGATCAATAGGGAAGCTTGCTGCCACCAGGTAAAGCAAAGTGAGGTTGCTCCGGCAGGAAGATGCTTTGTGATTGGTGCTGACTGGGACAGGAAGTATTTCAGGATTCCTTTTTTCTTCCCATCCTGTGCTGACCTACTTAGAAGACAACTAACTATTCCATGGTCCCACCCACAGGTATCTACTAAGGTATCTAGTCAATCAGAGAATACACAGATCAAGGAAAAGCAAGATTTATTTTTCTACGAAATTCCCAATCCATGTTCCAGCCAATGGATGAAGGGTCAATCATGCCTCACACAGACTCCTTATAAAATAAAAAAGTTTTTTTAAAAAAAACTCCTAGGTTATCTGGGATTAGATGAAAAGATTCACCTATTGAATACATTGTTTTCTTCTTTCATGTGTTCAAATGCTCCCTCCTTGTTGCCACTTTTGCCCACATGGGGCACTGCTGGACTTTTTTTCTTTTTTCAATATTCTACAGAGATCCTTTAATTAAGCCTTAAAAAGGACAAAGACAGAAACAAAGAATCACCTGGATGAGAAAAACCATCAACATGGACCCAGTACAGCAGCTAATGGAATCCCTTGACTAATTTCTTTTAGAAGGACCAGCATTAAGGTTAGTCTCTATGAGGTGGAGGTTAAAGATGTCCCCAAAATCTAACTTTTTCAAACTGCTATGCCACTCCATCATCTCTAACATCAACCCCTCCTGCTCCCTCTCCTCTTAGGGTTCCATATTTTGCTGTAACATCCCACAGAACCCACAAACTGCCAATGAAATGGCTCATGCAGTGGTAGAGGATGGCAAGTCCCAAATCTGTGGGTCACGCAATGGTCTGGAGGATTCTCCTCACTCACATGGTGACAGGGGCTGACAAACCCAAATCAGCAGGTCAAACGACTAGCTGCTATCTTGAGTCCCAAGACCTGGGGGTGAGATGAACCAGACAGAGGATCGAGAGCAAGAGAGCAAGCTTTGCCAGAACATTCACATATATATCCTTAAAGAAAGTAAGGGTGGGGACTTGAGTCACACCTCTCAGGAAGGTGGGACTCAAGATATACCCCACCCTAATCCCACCTTATCAACACAACAGATAACTCACCCCAAAATGGGACCATAACCACAGGCACAGAGGCTAGGATTTACAGCGCATCACAAATGGTGGGCCTATAGCTAAAGGGACCATACCAAGAAACTCAATTCACTGCACTGCAGGGACTAAACAGATCTGTGGCTACACTGATAATCCTATCTCCATGTCACTCTATGGTTTGATAACCTAAGGCCATGGGGTGATTATAACGCCCCAAGAACAGCTGAAAAGATCTGAATTTATTCTTCCAATATTTACTGACTGCCTACTGTTTGCTGGCCACAAGATGAGGCAGTGGCAGTGACTCTGCTGGTTCTGAGTTAAGATAAATGGTGCTGGAGAGAGTTTCCTTCCCAAATGGTAGGAGGATGTTTGCTGGGGGTTGAGAGAACGAGTTTCTCCTCTGCTTACACCACCTGGAGTGGACTTGGGCTGAGGCCCTGGGAACATACACTGTGCTCTCCTCTGGTATGTGCTGCTATCTAAGAACCAAGAGCAGTTTCTAAACAGCAGTGGCATTTGCTCCACAATCCACATAATGATGCGTCTCCAAGGAGCTCTGTGTCATGTGGCCAACATAGGAGATCTTCACTGAAGTTCTAGAGAAAAGAAACCAGAAAGAATTCTGTTTGTGTGGAAATAAGCAAGAAAAATTACCCATTCAAGCAACCATACTCAGAGGTCCCAGACACCTATCTTCATGATCTCAGAACCACCTTTCAACATCCACAGAGGACTGCATCATTAGGTGACTGTCTAAGCCTGTGGTTCTCAATCAGGGCCATTCTACTGCAAAGGGCACTTTTGGCAATATCTTGGTTGTCACAACTGGGTAGGGGGGCAGAATAAGGGGAAGGGGAGTTTAAGTGGTATCCAGCAGACAGAGACCAGGGATACTGCTAAACATCCTACAAAGCATAGGACCATCCCTCACAATAAAGTACTGTCTGGTCCCAACTGCCAATAGTGCAGACATTGAGAAGCCCTACTCTAAACCTTCTTAATTCAAATGTCTGCAACACTGACTTGTCACCTGCAGATTTAATAGTTGTGGTGCCAGGAATAACCTTAAAGGGTCCATTACCCAAGGCAGTTTGTGTGACAAGTATGTGGGAGTTGGAGAGGTTTGGCTAAATGCCTGGTGCTTCCATCATGAGAAAGCTTTTCTGTTCTTTATTGGTCTCATGAAGTTTCTAAAGGGATCACACCACTTTTCAGTTAAACTAAACCTCCTTTTGTAGAGAAAATAGTATGTTCTCTTGTGTAGTGTATATCTGGGGATTTGTGAAGGACCCTCCAGACTGCATGTAGAGGACATCAAGGGTTGCCTGTATCTCTTGTCTGCAAAGCAGCAGGTGCCTCCCCTTGGGCTAGCTGCCTCTGCCTTGTGAGCCACACAGATTCTCCTGGGCAAAGGCGGAGCACTCATACAGCCTGATGATCCAGGTCCAAACACAAAGGTCATCAAGATAGAAGAGGAGGGACATACCGCATGAAGATCACTATGTTGTGTACCAGGATTTCAGGCAACGTGCAGAAGAAGCTAGCAGACAGCAAATATGGAAACAGACGAATTGATTAAAAAAACAAAGAAAGAGTGAGCAGAAGGGTGCTGCACTGTTAACTTGAGGAGCAGTCAGACCTGTTTAGGGTGCCCCCTTCCCCCACACCTGACCTTCTGACCTAAGCACAGCCAAGGCTCTTGAGTCCTCACAAGTGTCGTTCTTGTCCTCCCCCATCACACTTTTTAAAAAAATACATAATGCATCATGTAAACGGTGGAGCTTAGCTTCTTTGCAACGTTTCTAGTGGCTTAGAGTGCCTGGGTGGTGTGAATGGTTAATGTGCTTGGCTGCTGAGAAGTTAGAACTTTGAGTCCACCCAGAGGCATCTTGGGAAAAAAGGTCTAGTGATCTATTTCTGAAAAATCAGCCACTGAAGGCCTATGAAGCACAGTTCTCTGACACACATGGGGTCACCACGAATCAGAGTTCACTCAGTAGCAACAGGTGCTGGTGGAATGTTCTCTCTTAGAAATTCCAGCACTTCATTACATTTTAAACAACACATCCTCCCAATACATCTCAAAGCTAGGGAGCCTACAGTGTAAAGGCTAGGACTTAAGGCAAGACAAAGCCCCAGTCACCTGGGTCTGACTTTGAATCTCTCTAACTTGGTAAACAGCACAGATAAAGAGAAAAACATCCTTACTACACATAGGAATATGGTCCTCCCATCTCAGCATTCACAGTAAAATTCACCTGAAAATAAAGACATCAGAGTCAGTCAGTGGCCAAGCAAGCTTGACATACAGCAGTACTATTATTAGCAACTCAAAGACCCTAGATCATTTTTCCACCACACACACAATGTGCCCAAGATTTTCCCTGATACAGCAGTGTAGGAGCCTCTAACAAATGCTTCCAATCTCTTTCAAGAGGCCAACAGACATCAGGTTACAATACTGCCCTCTTCTTGATTTGTAGCAAATCTCTGTCTTACAAATTCTGTTGCTCCCTAACTACTTATACGTTTGTTCTGTAATTACAAAGCCCTCTAGGTCTTCCTCATCAATTAGCTCCTCAAAGACAAACTGAGAAGAGGAAGGGAAAGCAGTGAGGATATAGCATTCCCCACTCCCACCCCCCTCTGCTCTTAAGCCTGTGGGGCCAGGACTCTGGAAGAACAGCATACCAGTTGCTCACTCCGAGGCGGAATGAGGGAGACATTCGTTGTCCCATATGTGCCGACCACTATGTTCATGTACTGAACCTGGCTGGATAGGCTGGTCACCGCCACTGAGTAGAAGTTGGAGTTCCTAATTCTCAGGGTGGCCTGCATCAGGTCAAATGAGGAAACAAGTGTAAGTCTTCTGAGTCCAAGACTTAGAAGATGCATAACCTAGGAAGCAGGCCCAAAGTCTTACCGTGATGGCGAGGATTACAAGGGAGTCCTCCTTATTAAACAAAACTTTCACTACTTTGATGCCGTCATCATCCACAAGGACTGAATGTGGAAACAGGAAGAAAACCACCAAACCGGATGCCAGGAGACAGAGCAAGATGGACAGGAGGACATACTGCTTACTGCAAATGACACAGCATATGACTGACCCAGGCAGCCAGATATAAAGGTCCAATCAGCTAAGATTAAATGTAAAACCAGGTGTGAAGGGGAGCAAAAGCACAAAGAACCAGAAACCAGAAACCATAAACCAGGCAAGAATGAGTGGAGTGGGAGAGGCTTTTAAAACCCATTTGCACACTGTTTGCATTCTAGAAAAAAGCTGAGAGGAGTTGCACGGAAACATTACTCACCTCCCAGAACACCCCCACCCCTCTTCTCCAACCCTATTCCTTCACTTGGCCCTAAGAATGTTCCCAGTTTCAAGTTTCTGTCCCTAGATTTTAATGGGGCAGAGAGATCTTGCTTGAGCAACAGTAATAAAGGAAATGGGGAATTTACAAGAACAGATGCAGTTTTCAAAAAGTTGACTACCATCCACATGTATAAAAAGGGACTAGGTATTAGAGGTTAACTTACGTTCTCTGAGGTCGTAATCTCTGATCACTATGTGGGATCAAAGCCACCAACTCATTTACTTGCTCTAGAAAAGAACCAAACGATTACGCTATAATCCCCCGTGCTGGTGGTATCATTCTTCCTTCACATCTCACGTCAGCCAGCCACAACAAACACTGAACTGGAATCAGACATTTCTAAAATACTAGTTTCATGGTGGGGTCCAATAACAAGAAACAAGTAAATCTGAGAGTGTCACAAATTACAAAGTATTCATCAGTACCAACAAGGCTGTGAAACGGGTGCTGGGGAATCTGGGATCTCCTCTGGCTTTAACATTAGCCAGCTGTGAGGACTTGTGAAAGCTGAACTTCTGTAGGTCAGTATCTCCTCATCTGTAAGATAAAGGCTTTGGAGTAAAAGGTTTCTAAGGTTCTTGTTGTTGTTATTTGCCGTTGAGTCGGCCCTGACTCATAGCGACCTCTCCTTGGGTTTCTGAGGCAGTATCACTACGGAAGTAGGATTGCCCAACCTTCCTTCCGAGGAGTGGCTGGTGGATTTGAACCGCCAGCCTCCTGGTTAGCAGTCAAGTGCCTTAGGCACTATGCTACCAGAGGTAGTTCTTACCAGCTCTAAACGTCTGCTACCCTCTATCTAAACTGTTAAGATCTTCTGAGGGCCAACTCGGTAACAGATGATCCAGCACTTATTCCAGGCTCCACAACTGAGTTTTCCCACCTTTTGTTTACCTCTCCCCACTTGACATGGTTTTCAGACCTTGGACTGTTAATCATTCACTGTCTGCTTCCTCAAATGGACTTTCAAGATAAAATCCTACAAAGCTGTGCCAGTCTTTCTGAGAGCAATAAAGAAATGTGCCTATCAAGGAAGTGTGCCCATGACCGTGGATAGGGTGGGCAGATGATGATTCTATAAGCATATATGTGCTATAAAAATGTCTGGGTGTATAGTAGAGCTGAAAAGGGACAAGGTTGTAGCAGCTTCTTGGCCACATCCAGCTATCCGTAGGGAGCAAGGAGTTGGACCTATGGGCTTGGGACCATGGATGCAGGGGACTCAAGCTCCATTGGCATAACATACTACACAAAAATACTGTTCTACATCCTACTTTGGTGAGTAGCGACTGGGCTTAAAAACTTGCAAGTGGTCATCTAGATGTAACAATGGGTCTCTCCTTACCCAGAGCAAAGAAGAATGAAGAAAAGCAAAGACATGTGGAAACCAAACAATTAGTCTAAAGGACTAGTAGACCATGAGACCAGAAAAATTAGATGGTGTCCAGCTACCACTGTCAACTACTCGGAGGGGGATCTACATAGGAGATCCCAGACAGAGTGAGAGAACAATGTGGAACAAAATTCAAAATCATAAAAAAAAAAGACCAGGTTTTCTGGTTGGATAGAGCCTGGTGAGACCCCTTAGGCTATGGCCCCTAGTTACCCTTCAGGTCTGGAATGAAACTCACTCCGTGGCTTCCAGCCAAATAACAGACAAGCAAAAGGGGTGAACATTTACATTAGGTAGATACACTCCTTGGTGCAATCAATCATGGGAGAACAGAAGGGCAGTGCTGACACAAGGAGATGGCTCGGGGGTGGGGGGCAGATGTGCATGGGAGGGAAGGACACAGGGAAGAGGTAACTACAGGGAGGAAGTGGAAAGAGAGCTCTTACATTGTGGGGAATTGCTGTCAATGTCATGAAATAAAATATGTATGAACTGCTGTATAGAAAATGAATTTGCTCTGTAAACTTTCACCAAACCACAATAAAAAGAAAAAAAAAAAAAAAGAAATGTGATTGTCAACAAATCTATAATGTAGAGCAAACCCAAGTTTCAAACCATGGAAACAAAGAACAAAAGTTAAGGAAAGAAAGGTTTCAAATACAGAGAAATCAAAACAAGTTGTGGAACTTGTCTGGGTCAATCTGGTCAGCTGAGCTGTCTCCTGCTCAGGGCACTGTCTGTGACCACGGCGTCATTGCCGAGAAGAAAAGCCATGGACAGACAAGAACATTCCTGTGTGTATCTTGGGATTCTTGTTAGGAAATCATTGCTCCTTACCTGTTGGAATGTAGCCAGTCCCTTGGCAAGTGAGACAGGTGATGCTATCTCGCCCTGTGAACTCCACATATGGGAACTGAGCAATAGCTTCTTCTTGCTCTCGTTCAGCCCACGTATCATCCTTGTCATCATCTTTCTTTCGCTTGCAGGAAGGGGGACGAGCAGAGGCAGAATGCTGGGACCCCATGGCCGTGATGTAGCACCTGTGTCATGTCCTAGGATGCAGAGGTAAATGAGTGTATGTGAATGTCACTAACATAAACCACGAGAAATCACTTCACTACGCCACTTGAGCTCCCTTTCTTTTTTATTAGAGAAGTGAAAATAAAAAATGACTGGATTGGCATCCTGAGTGTGATTCCAACACCGTAGGATTTCTACCGAGATCCTCATTTTGTGGCACTGCTCCTTAGTCCCCTGCCACCCCCACATACAGCATGGGGAACGGGGCTGTCTTCGCCACTCAGGCCAGCTGCTCACTGCCCCGGGTCTCGGAGTACCCTAGCTTCTACCTAGCCCAGCCTCGCCTCTTCCTCTCCAACTAATCTGCAAACTCGTGCCATACTTGAGAAAGACTCTCTGGGTAAACAGACACCAAAGTACTACCAGGCCTTAGCGATCCCCATCCTACTCCATTCTCAGCCGGAAGGCAAGCTCAGGTCACGCCCCCTGGCAAAAAGTGACACTTCACGCCCACTAGAACCGTTCTGGCGGAGACGATCGCTGGCGTCCCCGGACCTACAAGGTAAATATTCCTGGCAGCCCCTCTCCAGGCCGCTACCGCCTACTTTCCCTAATCGAGCCAGCTACCTACCTTCTGGGTCCTCGGAGCTGCTTACCCGCGATACGCATGCGCCGAATGGCAGGCGCTCGTGGGGGGGCGGGGAACGCCGGCGTGTGCGCGCGTGCGCTCTCCACGGCTCACGCGGCCTCCCTTTTAGCAAGCGCAGCTGTCGCTCCCACTCGACCCCGGTAGAGGGCGGCAGAGAGCGGACGAGAGCGTTGCTGCGCGGAGAACGAGGAAAGGTCAGTACATGGGTGCTGTGCAGAAACGCTTGGAAAAGCGAGGGAGGAAGAAGGATCCGCCAGCTTTTGTCCCCCATGGTTGATGTTTATCTTTCCCTTCCTCACGGGAAGTTATCATTGGAATTTGGACAAGTTGCTTTCTATGAATAAAGCTGACCATTTATTTAGTCTGGTCACAGCTAATCCACTGAGCCCTTAGAATGAGAAGCAACAAGGAGACATAGCTTCTCCTCTTCCGCTTCTAGGGCTGGGCCACATCTTCTTCCAGAAATCTGTTCTTCATCTCTTCCCTTGCAAATTCTATACCAGTTTGCATTCTCATTTATACAAATCTGAGTCTGCTGGGGACAGCAATATGCTCAACAAAAGCTACATTCCCCAGCCTCCCTTGCAAATAGGGTTGGCCATGTGACATAGTTCTGCTAAATGACACTAAGTGCAAGCAGTTGAGTGGGGCTTCCAGGAAAGCTCCTTAAAAGAGATGGAGATTCAACTGATTCTTTGACTGTCCTCTTTTTCCTGCCTGGAATTTGGACTTTGTGATGGGGTAGCCATTTTGTGATCATGAGGCAAGAAGTGCATGCTAAGGAAAGCTGGGCAGAAAGATAAAAGGAGGCTGGGTCCCTGATGGCATTGTGGAGCCACCATTAGGCCCTTTTGATTTCTCATTATGTGAGAAAACTCCTCAAAATTGTTTAAGCCTATTTTTGGGGTCTCTCAAAGAAGAGTCCCTGGGTGGTGAAAATGTTTAATGTGCTTGGCTACTGTCCAAAAGTTTGGAAGTAGGAGTCTATCCAGAGGTGTCTCTCAAGACAGGCCTGTCAATCTCCTGCCGAAACATCAGCCATCAAAAACCCTATGGAGCACAATGCTACTCTAAGACACTTGGGGTCTGTAAGTCAGAATCAACTCAATGGCAACTGGTTTGGCTTCCTTACAGTGGGATGTTATCCGAAAAGATACAGACACAAAGGGAGAAGCGTAGGCTTTAACATAAGCAGCCTGACAGCCATATGTCCTCTTAACCGTGGAGGCCACACTTAGGTTTCTACCCTCTTGTAAGTATAGTCTTCTGAGTACATGCCCCTAGGGAGAGAGGAGGCCCTTTGTCTGTCTGAGGCCTGTCTTCCAAGTGCAACTTCTCATCTGAGGACCTACACTAGATTGACCTAGGGAGTGACCTCTACTAAGAGTCCATCCTTTAGTCACAGGTGTGTTGCCTCACCCTGTGGCCACCTGGCTGCTTCTAGGATGAATGCAATAAGCCTAATGTCTGACTAAAGATGGGCATTGCTGCAAGTTGTCCAGTCTTCCCAGAAGCAGGGAAAATGAGGAGGCAGCAGTCTGATCAGTGCCAATTTACAAGGAAGAGGAACCTGGAAAAAGAAAGAGGGCTGTGGATGTTTTGAAAAGGAAATAAGGCTAAGGGTTTGGGGTCTGTGGTAAGGAAGAGACAGAGCCTGGGACTAGTGGGGACTGGAAGGGATCCTTGGGGCTTAAACAGCAAAACCTTTGAGACTCTCTGGCAATCTGCTTCCAAAGCTATGTGTGGGACAGACTGTACTCTGTAGTGTGGCTTTCATTTCTCCTAGCCAAGCACCCAGTACAATGCCTGTTACGTAGTGAAAATAAATAAAAAAATGAGAAAGACAGCAGTTGCCAGGGACTCAGTTGTGACCTATGACAACCACTTACGTGTTAGAGTAGAACTGTGCTACAGAGTGTTTTCAATGGCTGATTTTTCAGTAAATTGCCAGGCCTTTCTTCTGAGGCACTTCTGGGTGGACTTGGACCTCCAATCTTTCTGTTTAGTCCAAGCTCCGTTTGGACTACCCCAGGGCTCTCTTGGTGCATAATAGGCCCTCAATAAATGCTTGCAGAATGATGACTCAGTTGGGAGGCTGGCCAGCACTGCCTGGGGGAGTAGCCCCAGCATCCGCCTGAGCCATCTGGGAGGCAGTTTTAATTGAGCAGCACATTCCTTAAGAGACACCCATCACTTCTCACCTGAGTCTCTTCCCAAGTTTGTCTCCTCCGGGTTATGATCGGGGAGTTTGCTGCAGACATGAGCTCACTGAAGCTCTCTGGGTGGGCTGGGCAGAGTAAGGGCAACTGGGGATCCCTGCCCCCCTGGCTCAGGCGGATGCTGGGGCTACTCCCCCAGGCTCCCCCAGCCCCTCCCCCCACGTCTCATCAGTTTCACGTGTACATTGGGCACCCCTGACCTCACAGGCTGAGGGGAGTAGAGACAGAATGGAAAGGGCTGCTGGTCCTGAAAGGCCTTAGGAGGGAGGGGATCAGTGACTACCTCTGTCCAGCTCTGCACTCCTCCCCCACTCATGCACAGGAACAGGACTAGATAGGAGGACTGTGCTAACCTCTCCTTGCAGTGATGGGGAAGCCGAGGATTTGGACTTGGTCATCATTTTGCCTCCCCTTTATTTATTGCAGAGTCCCAAGGTGGTTCAATGGTGAAAATGCTTGGCTGCAAACCAAAAGGATGGAGGTTCGAGTCCACACAGAGTCTCCTCGGAAGAAAGGCCTGGCAGTCTGCTTCCAAAAAGTCAGTGAGTGAAAACCCTGTGGAGCACAGTTCTACTCGAACACACGTGGGGTCACATGAGTGGGAGTGGGCACATCGGTAACTGGTTCTTTATTCCACACTTGAGAAGACTTGCATGAGGTTAAATGACACCTAGTAAGTGAAGGAATCAGTACCAGAACCAGGTCTACTATTCTCTTGTCAGTACACTTGCCAAAGAGAATTGGTGACTTGCTTGGAATGGTACACAGATGGATTTAAGGGACATACAAATCACTTTATTTTATATTATGTTTGATTCTAATGTTAGAGATCTCAGTGTGCAAAGTTCCGGCCCATGTGTTGCCCAGATAAAGAGGGACAGTGGTCTCACCTTCTGGAGTTCTGGGTTCAGTTCTCTAAAGGGAAGGTGTGAAGGGAGAAGGGGTGAGAGGGTCTTTGGCATGTAAGAACTCCTTATAGCTAAAAAGAGTTCTACCATGCATGTGACACTTCCTTTGACATGAAACAGATATTATTCACTTTTTATTGTTGTTGTGTGCCATTGACTCATAGTGACCCCATGTACCACAGTATAACTGCCATATAGGGGTTCCTAGGCTGTAATCTTTACAGAATGAGCCCTGGTGGTGCGATGGTTAAGCACTTGGCTGCTAACCAAAATGTTGAAGGTTCGAATCCACCAGTGGCTACACGAAAGAAAAGACTTTATGATCTGCTCCCATAAATATTACCCACTGCCACTGACTTGATTCCAACTCATAGCGACCCCCATTGGTTTTTCAAGGCTATAAATCTTTATAGGAGCTCTGGTAGCATAGTGCCTAAGGCACTTGACTGCTAACCAGAAGGCTGGCAGTTCAAACCCACCATCCACTCCTCAGAAGGAAGGTTGGGCAATCAGATCCGCCTCAGAAACCCAAGGAGGGGTTGCTATGAGTCGGGTCTGACTTGACGGCACATAACAACATAAATCTTTATGGAAGCAGATTGCCTCATCTTTCTCCCGTGGAGCAGCTGGTGGGTTTGAACTGCTGACTTTCTGGTTAGCAGCCAAATGCCTTTCCCACTACATCACCAGAGCTCCTTCCCACATGGAACCCGATGTGTCAGAATTGACTCTATGGGACACAGCAATAACAGCAGTCTACATGGGAGCAGGTCACCAGGTCCTTTCTCCTGAGGAGTGACTGGTAGGTTGAATCACCGACCTTTTGGATGGAGAAACAGACAGGGAAGACAACTTGCCTCAGCTACAATGAGGAGGTCAGCATTGGATCATGGGTTTTCTGCCCCAAGTCCTTCCTCTTTCTACTTTACTGTGCTATTTCCTGTGAAGAGTGGTCTCAGGAAGAAGGTTTATCGACTGTTCTAGGAAGGCGAGTGACGCAGAGGGTGTTTATATACCAAAGGGTTACAGGCAGTAGCTACTCTGGTGTACTTGTGACTGCAGCAGTTGTAGGTGGGGAGCTGTGCAGAGAGAGGCTGTGTGTGAGGTTAAGCATGGTATAGGGGTGTAGAGGGTTTATGTGCTCAGAGAACTCACAAAGCACCACAACCTTGTAAATGGGACCTTGACGCCACAGGCCACTACGGTGGTGGGCAAAGCCAGCTCTCCTCCTTCCTTGAGGGATGAAGATGAGCTTG